CTGAGACTGAGACTGAGACTGAGACTTGCATGCACTTGCTTTTCAACTGAAGGCGTCAGTTTTCTTACGTTCTCCACAACTTTAAGTTTGCACACGTCTTGCCTATTGTAACTTGGTCCAGCAGTGTTGAGTCCACGCTGCTCACTATGACAACTGTTCCGTTAGCGGGGCACTGCATGTCTGGCATCGACGTCCCTCAGACACTGAGTAGTACACAAAGCGCTGTCTTGTCTTATGCTCAGATGATACATCGAAAGATCGCGAACTGTATCGTCAGCCTAACGAGGCTTGTTCCATTCATCACCACAAGAGTAGTAAACTTCCCGCTTCCGTCGTCAGGAACATGCCGTCCCGTTCATGGATGCTCCTCACGACTGCTCCCTTGACGTGAAGACCTGGCAGACCTCGTGGGATGAGTCGATCCTTGCACCGCTTGACAGATCTCCACATAGTCAGATTCACCGCAAAAAAGCCATGCATCAGACACGTCAAATGAAATATGACCACCCCAGCTGAGGAAAAAGGCTTACTGCTGCATCGAGGTGTACGTCGGCTGCAAGATGGATTATGATGAAACCACGACGGAGCCGGCAGTCCACACCATACAGCAGATCCACTACGTGACGCGGATCCACAGGGTACCTCAGAAAGTCTACGTCCGGGAGCCTTATCAAGTTCAGAAAGTGGTGAAACACGTGGTCATGAAGCCGCAGAAGACCGAGTATGATTGTGATCGTGGTTTCGACGATTGGCACAACAAGTGGTCGCTCCGTCATCAGCGATACTGCTGCTACTTGCGCAGAAGGGGCTGCGCAGTCAAAGTGGTGAATCATGACAAGTACATCACCGTGACACACATGAAGCTGGTGCCGGAGTATATTCATATGAAGCCATCAAAAGAACATGACGTCGTTGTCCCCAAGTATGTGCCGCACCCTGTGCCTTCCAAACCGATCAAGATCGAGGTTGCCGGTCCACCTCGCTACCACTACCGCGACGTGAAAAAGTACAATTACATTCAAGTCCCTACCCCGGGCAAGCCGCACATCGTAGTAAAGAAGGTCCCAGTACGCGTGCCAGCAGCCCCGAAGATTATCCATGAGCAGACGGTAGAGGTCGTGCACCAGCGACACTTCAACTGCGCAGCTGGCCTCTCGAACTGGTTCTTCGGATGGTCACAGGACAAGAAAGATTGGTGCTGCAGCCACGAGAGCCAAGGATGTCCGGGCACTTGGCACGGCCATATGCACTTGGTCACAAAAGTTACCGGTCACGTGGGCCATGCACACGAGCACTTGTACGATTGCAATGCCGGGTTCTCTGACTGGATGCAAGGATGGTCGGACTCCAAGAAGGAATGGTGCTGCGAACATCAGAACCGTGGTTGCGCCCCTCACCATTGCGACGGGGAAGCTTCGGACTGGACTCAGGCCAAACGTGACTGGTGCTGCGATCACTTCCAGACGGGCTGCCCAGAGACCACAATGTCCCCCTACAAATGCGATGCCCCTTGCACCCACAAGGGCGAAACCGCCACCTGTGCGGACCGCTTGAGCTGGGCCGAACACCATTTGTTCTCAGGAAGGGGAAATGCCTGTGCTCTGGCTTACAGTCAGGTTCAAGTGGATTGCGATGTGTGCAGGGCTTGTACAATTGGAGAAGCCGGCTGCACCGTCCATGTGGACACGTCGCCTGCCTTCGACTGCAATGCAGCACTGAACAACTTTTTCCGGGCGTGGTCCCCAGCAAAGAAGCATTGGTGCTGTACAGAGCAAGGCAAAGGTTGCGAAGGCACCTCTCCCCCTCATGTTGACCCCGGCTTTGGCATGGTCTGGAAGCGCAACCAAGTGAATGGCTATTGGACGTGGATTGCCGTCCGTGGCGGTGCTAAAGTTCAGAGCCTCCCCTACGACTGCCACGCCGGCCTCACCAACTCCAAGTTCGGTTGGTCCGGGGGAAAGAAAGCTTGGTGCTGCGCAAACCAGCACCTTGGTTGTGGTGGAGGTATTGGAGGTGCAGGTGGCGCCACATATGTCACACACCACACAGTGACTTATGTCACGCATGGCGGTGGTGCAGGTGGGGCTGCCGGGGCTGCTGGGGCCGCTGGGGCCGCTGGTTCCGCTGGTGCCGCAGGTGCTGGAGGCCACCCCCCCGGTGTAGCGGCGGCAGGGATGGTTTGGCACTGGAGCCATGCCGGAGGTGAGTGGCATTGGGTCCAGCAGCACTTGGTCGGCAGTCCCGAGTTCGACTGCAACGCAGGCTTTGACAAGTGGAAGGTCGGCTGGTCGATGCCCAAGAAGAGCTGGTGTTGCCACAACATCGGCAAAGGATGCCTATGAGCTCCGAATTAGCCGCTCACATGTCCGAGGAAAGGCTGAGGCTGTGAAGACCGATCGGCTGATGCATGGATTTGCATGGAAGGTCTTCCTGGCATGCCTTACACCTTGCCAGTGAGTGTGTTGACATGGTTCTTGCTGTTCGCGTCCTCCTGTTTACTCCCTAAATTTGCGTGTCTCGACTCTGCAACTGCCTGAGATGGAACAGGTGCCCGCAGTTTCTGGCAAGGACAACGACTTTTCCCACTGCCACACCTGAGGGCTTTTGACTGTGCCGAGTAAAAGACTGCGCGGCCAGCCAGCTGCAAAAAAGCCTTTTGCAGAAGCCAGCCTTTCATGTCCAGCCCGTCCAGCCCACATCAGTTCAGTGGCAAGCTTCTGTTTCCATCTTTCTGCAACCCACTGCCGCACTCCAACTCAGACTGCTGCTGCAATTTTGCCCAGGCGACCACTGGGGCACTAGGGTCACTAGGGTGCAAACATGCGAGATGCCTAATAAGTCTGCCTTCCTTCAAGCATTTCTCCATTTTTCAAGAACGTGATGCAACATCGACTTATCTGCAGCGTCGGTGCATTCAGCTGTTCCCGAAGACTCATGCGCTTGACTCTGCTTGAACAGGCCCAACCCCCGCAACAATCCGTCAGCTAACACACCATGGCAGGGCAGTCTGCTTTGTTGCTGGCTTGTCCTTTTAACAGGTTACTGAGCGCAGCAGAGCAGCCAACGTTTCATTCATTGAGCAAAAGCAGACACAAAAATTCTCGAGTCCATGTGCCTGCTGCCAGTGGCCTGCATACGGCAGTCAGTGCTCCCGCAGTCGGTAGCACGATGGAGTTGCTCTCTCCACGGCAATGGCGTGTTCACCCCAGAATCTTTTTGCTGAATGTACTGCTTCATGGCTGAAAACTCCGAGTCTGTTATGCTGGAAGTTGCCGCTGTTCCGGACGGTGCTCAGAACCAGAATTGAGAGTTTATGCTGCAAGAACACGAAATGTCAAGTTGAGAGTCCGGTTCCTTGCCACATCCTGGCGCCACGTCACACGGCAGCTTGAGCTGAACACGCACCGACTGCTGTCAGAGATTCCATAGATTGGAGATCAGTTGGAACGATCTCCAGAGGCGGCTCTGGGGATCTATCGTGTTCCCGGTACTGTTGTAAGCATCACTCTCGCACTGATGTCAAGCCTGCTTGTTTCAGCAGTTGGGCAACGATATGGTGAACTCTCTTGCCCTTGAGCACCCTCAATCTGAGGAATGCTGCACCTTCCGTCATCATCCGTAGCCGTTCTGGCAGTGTGCTCGGTCGCACATCACTGAACCATTGTTGGAAATGAGTGCAAGGTTGAGGAACACGGGCACTTCGTCGTTAAACACAGTTTTTTCTGATACCTGAGGGTGTCAAGGTGATTCTGACAGGAAGGCAGATCTTGGGAGGTAGATTTGAGATAAATCAGCACACACATACGAAGCCTTCCGGCGATACAGATCCCACCATGGCAATACCCGGCCTTGAGAAGCGAGGTGGTGTTTACTCGCTGTCCTTTGTCTCGGCTGGGAAGCTCCTGAGAGCGGGACCCGGCAGTGTGCAGGGTTCATGCTTCCAGGCTACCTACTTTGATCACCTATGGTTTCCGTTGATACCTGCTGCAGTACGCAATATAGGTGCCAAATGCCTCTCCGAGGTGGCAGTCTCCATGGTGAGGCCGTGAGTTGCACCAGCCCGATGTTCTAGCAGCTTCTAGCAAAGCCTGTCAAAGGAGCCTGCTGAGCATGTCGACTTCAAACTTTAAAGTTTAACGACCTTCAGCTGCAGGTCTCACTTTGGGACTTGCGTGACCAGCGTCCTGCACGCCTCTGAGCCAACAAGTGTGCAGCCTTCAGGATTTCGTGCCATGTCCGCGCGTGAGTTATTGTTGGTTTCTTCGGCGACTTCCCCCCGACCAGCTAAGGAAACCGGAAATCAACAGCAGAGCAAAATTAGGAATCAGCAGATCCTAGCGATTTGCTCGAGATCCCCAAACAATACCATTAGCACCTCCACCGGGCCGGTTCGTGCTTGTTCCAGCAGTTACGCAGCTTTCGGAAGCCTTCCGCGCACTACATGTGTCAATCTGTCCTCCGCAGGAGGTTCCGAGAGGAGCCTCTCGGAAGCATTCCGAATAAATTAGAACTCGAACACACAGCGTTGGAGGCCCCAAAGCTCCAGGAGCACTGGGAATGCACCACCACGACGCCAGGAGATCACGAAGAGATCACCAGGAAACCACCAGGAGACCACCAGTAGACGACCAGGAGACCACCAAATGGCCACGCCACCACGACACCAGGACACCATCCAGGGAATACCAGGAGATCATCCGAAGACCATCATGAGATCACCAGGAGATGATGAGAAGCCCACCCACGACGAGCACTGCGACCAGGATGACACCGACCAGGACAATACTAAGAGACCAAAAAGACCCGCGCAGAGAGAACGGCACTACCAGGAGACCACCAGGGGAACAGCAGGAGACCAGCAGGACAGCACCTGGAGACCACCAGGAAAATGCTTTCCCCCAAGTAGATTCGAGAGCACGGAGGAATCGCTGCTCCCAAGTACTGGCGGCTCCAGCGCGAAACTGCTTCTCTCAAAGTACTGGCACGTTTCGGGAACATGCGAACAAGAGACTTATGCTTGCCCCCTTGGCTTGCCACATCCGGACTGTTTTAAGTTTCCCCCTCGTACTGCTGCGGTTCAGGCTATTCCAGAGCCAAGAGCGGTCCCATTCGAAATACTGGAGCATCAGGCAATCAGGAAAAGTATGTTGATGATGCTTGCTTGAGGGAGGCTCCTTTTCTGTTAGACGCAGACTCCAGGAGCAACAGAACAGCTGCCCCAGAACATGGTATCATAAACACGAAAGCTATCGTAAAGGCTTAGCTTTCGTTGCTTTTCGGATTCCTGTTCGGCTGTTTCATTTGGATCTGCTGATTCCTAATTTTCTCCCAGATCACACTGATGATCGCACCGGAAACACGAAAGCAATCATAAAGGCCTGGTTTTCCTGGTTGCTGTTGGGCTTTTTAAACGTTGTAACACTGTGTTGAAACCTGTCAGGCTGTCCCTGCGTGGCGCACCATGCGCACGGGGAAAATAGCTCCCTGCGTCGTGTATCCTTTACAATTACAAAGGATGCGTCAGACACGCGTCTCCCGCCGTGGTGCGTGCATAGTCTTCGCTGGCATCCTGTGTTTACAAAGGATTCGCCTGACGCACGTGCCCGGCGGCAAGTATCTATTGTAAACAATACGACACCCAGCAGATCAGAAACTACCTATGCGAAACTGATACTAGTAAGATGATTGCCCTTGCTTAAGTAACGAGTGGCATGGAGAAGTCTCAAACTCAAGCCGTCCTGAATGAACATTGACGCAGAGACCTTTAAGTTTTCATGGTTTTCATGCCTCCACAAGGATGCCAGCTGGAAGGTTTCCGATGAGACGGCACGCGGCTTGGGGGGCAAAGGGGACAGCACAGTGGAAATGTAGTACTCAGGTCACGGGCAACCCGTAAGATGTAATAAAGCATTGTTGCAATCGCGGTGGAGGTCCAAGGCCCAGGGCAGAGACCTCAAAGTGGCATCGAAGCAGGCAACGTAACAGCCAGGCCCCCCATACAGAGCAAAAGTCTTGACGGCACGGCAGCCCTGCAAACCTTCCACAACAGTCGAACATAATCACGCAGGTGCTTTCGGTGTGGGCTCTGGCACGGGGCCAACAGTGCCTCAGCCAGAGCAAGGATGGGAGGCGTGTGGGACCTGCTTGTGGAGTGTGTGGTCTTTAGCCGAAGATTATGGTAATGCTTGCTAGTTGAATCGCATTTCCCTCGTGCCCTTCTGTTGAAATGACGAGCAGATCTTGATAAAGTGTCCCTGCCCGCGACGTTGCATGGCTCAACGACCACAGGGCGCTTTTGCTTGTTGACGACGCAGTATCACCAGCGATGTTCGACTAGGTTGCCCAGTCAGCGCCAACCTGGGAACCACGCCAAAGACGTGTTTCATGCTAGTCCACCGCAGCTTGCAGAATTGAAAAGCTGCATGCATCTCGAAGCCGCAAGGCCGTAACGCCGTGACACACACAGCAACCAGCGCTGCTCTTGCAAGCACATGTTGCTTTGTGTCCATCCGTTGCATCTGGCATTTTTCTTTTGTGATAAGCCGAACAAAAATCGGCGCAACATGATACTCGAACCTTTTCTTAACTTTGTTCGCAGCATAAAGTCTGCAAGGCCAGCATGGTGAAGGATCCCACCCTCACCATGTGGGCATGCTACGTGTGAGCAACCATTCATGTTTATGTGAAGTTAAGTTGCCAGGGTGGGGCTGTGGGATGTGGAGGTGCAGAAGGCATCGTGGGAGGCCGGCGCGTACCACTAAACAGGAATGCGGGTGCTGGTAGTCGGATTTGTAGCTTAGGTGGTGGAGAAGCGTTGTGCACAGAGGCATATAGGTTGGAAATCTTGCGGTGTCATGGCTGATCCGCCCCGCGTGTCAAGCAAGCATGCTGATACATTATTTATATATATATATATACATACATACACACACACATATGTATATATATATATACGTATATATATATATATATACGTATACACATACATGCACCTCTTCCTACTCTGTATGTAAAGGTACAAATTTAGTTTTGATTAAATTAGCTTCGCTGGTTTCAAAAGTATCGATTTATTTGATCATTTACACATATACATATAACTTTACGTATGTATACATATATATATATATATGCATACATACATACATACATACATACATACATACATACATACATACATACATACACAGATATAAAAGAATATGAAAGAGCCATCATGCGCCACAGGAGTTCATGGAGCACTTTTGATAGTCCTCGTGCAGTGCCTCTGGCAGAGGTTCGCACTGAAAGCTGCGCTTTCGCGCGTCTTGCAGTGATGCCTGGCAACGGAGGACCCAGACCCAGAGAGTGCTGGATTCTGCTGCCTCTTCTTTACCTCGACACTTACGCTCCGGGTTCAAATGTCACTGTAAAGATGATGACCGAGTCCGTTATGTGCATCAGCCGCAACGATGGATGCAGCAGCAAACTCAGCAGGGACAGACTTCAAACAAGTGCTGAGAATGTGCTGTCAGAGGTTCGTGTTCCTACAGGCATGGGTCGTATCAAACGATTTGTCACTATGAGGCTTTCAACCCTCTCAAGCCGAAACCTAAGTCTCCTATGGAACTGTCAAGGAATAATCACCTTGTGCAATGCCACGATGCCCCTGTTTGTGTTCAGCAGTGATGCCGTTGGAGCGATGTTGAGGAGCAAGGCCCGCAGAAGGCCAGCGCAGCTGCAGCCATAGAGAACACTACCTGCAGGAGACTCCTGGAGCTCGAAGGCTTCCGACTGCACGCCGGATCCTCAAGCTGTGTTGGATGCTCCCAATTGCACCAGGAACTGCAACGAGCATCACAGCTGGACACTCGACACCCTGTCGATCCCGTTGCTGAGGTTTTGCAGCCCCCTCTCTGAGCCGCACGAGATCGGCGTTTTCGACTGTCGGGAGGCGGTTTCGGTTTAGGGCTGTAGGCTGGGCGCGATGCTCAAACGAGAAATTGAAATTAGAGGCTTCTGGGCAAACGTTTAGGGAAGTGCGTCCCATGACGCAAGGTACCTACGTACTGGTAGAAGGTGGAGGTGGTGGATTGGGATGAAGAACACAGCAGCGGGAGTTTGCCCCCCCACTTTTCGGCCGACACAGCATGAAATCTCGCATAGACCCTTAACCCTTAGCGACTTATTCGTTCCGGCATGGTCCGGCAAGACGTGAGGCCCAACTGCCCAACCCACCCTGAAGCACGGCAGCAGCTCTCAAGGCCACTGCGCCGATGCAGCCTTTTCCTCGGGCGTGACAGGGCTATGGCGGGTCAACTTTCCGGGGTTCCTGGTCGCTTTATGTGCGAGGGTGTGACTTGAAAGGCTCACCACAGACGACAACCATGGTGCGCCCTGCCGTTGAGCCAACACCTGCCGCAACATTTCTCGTGGTTCGTTTGTTTGTCTGGGCACCCAGGTGTTGCCAGCTCATTCTGTCCACTCCCGTTCCGTGTCCCGGGCCTGGCACCCATCTGAAGCTCGGGAGTTGATTGGGGGGTCTCAGGGAACAAAGTCCTGGGGCCAGAAAGTCTCGAAGTCAGTCTTGAACCAGCCTGAGAGTGCAAGACAAGCCATGACCCCTCACAAGAGGCTCCTCTCAGGTTGTTGGCTTCACTGTCAGCTTCGGTTGCAAGGCAAGGGTCGGAGCGGCCGTGCAGCTGCTACAAGTAACACACATGAACCGTCTCAACCGCGGAAGTTTCTCAGGGCTGTCGTGTCCTTGAGGTCAGAGTCGCTGGCGGCATCACCAGGGCCCCTCTGCTTTACTTGCTATGGCGTTTGGACTGGCGCATTGCATGATTGGGCTCTAACTGCTCTAGTTACGTGTAGGCTCTGTGATCCAGCGGATTACAGGAGGAGATCTGACTGAAGTCGTGGCGAGCCCAACGGTCGTCCCAAGTCCAGTCTGGGGGGGGTTGCTTGTCATCATCACCCACGCTACAGCCATGATAGAGTCGATCCCATCGAACCACATTTACAGGACCAAGTATCCGGGAATTACGTGGAATAACAGTGGCCAATCGTTATGTGTCCTGGCATGAACCATGTCCGGTGCTTCCAAAAAATAGGCCAAGAGAGTGTTTTTCGTTGAGAGGATGTGCATGGACCTCTGTCCTGCTCCTGCACTTGGCGGGCAGCCAAGACCTTGCAGCTTCAAGTCTTGTCCATTCGGTGATGGAGTCTGAGAGTTTAGCATGCTCCGGTACGCCACCTCTGCTTGAGCTTAGCTAAACTAGGCTTTGCCGCCTTGTGCCCTACCCAGCTGGCCCGAGCTGTGACCGTCGAAATGAATGCAAAAGTGGAGGATGTCGAAGGCGTTGACTCGTGGTCCTCTTGAACCTACCAGCGATTTGACCTCTGCAGAAGAGATGTTTGCATTCCTGCGTCTACTCTACCTGTCGTCAGTCAACATTGTAGGTTAGTTAGAGGGGCGAGCTTGCCAGGAAGAGCTTTTCGGATAGTTTGTAGAGACTGAAAGTCACGCGGAACGAGTTAGAACCGCTCGGAACGAAAAAGCAGACGGACATGGAGTCAGCCTGAGCCTTGCTGTCACGCTACATGCGGCCATGCAGCGAGACACTGGCCGAGTGCGGTGCGACTCTTGGGGAGCTCTGGCGGCGCTCAGCGTAGTCCCTCATAGCTCAGTCTTGAAGTTACGTGCGCTGGCCTTCTGCCCAGCCTGAGCCTTCAAAATGGAACGCCCTCACTATGCGGAATCTACCTGACCTGAGGACGGCTCTTTCGCGAACCAAAGCTCTTCGCCTGCGCAGTTGTGTCGCTCACTTTTCATGCTCCTCGGCAAGCATCAGAGACAGAGGCTCAGAAGCTTAGAACTGCAGACGCGCACAAGTCAGAGGTGGCACTCTATGGATTCGGTTTTTGGAGCTGCCGACCTGGTGGGAACATGTGGCACACCATTGCCGCGCAGGAGAGCCTGCTGCCGTGTAGCCCAAACCTCCAAAATGTTGCCGATCTTGACTTGAGTTCACTTGAAATTTTCATTCGCAAGACAACTCTTGCATTTCAAAAGACATGCAGACGGAGTCTTCGACGCTGTTCCATTAGGATGCCAATTTCAGAACTCCTTTGTCTTGCGATGATTCAGCTCAGATGGTGCACGGGCCAGAGAATACTCAGCTGCTACTAAGAATTTGGCAGATTGTCGTAGCTGGTAGCCCTCGTCGAGCATGCCCCAGACGGGAAGCAAATCTGGCATGGTACTCTGTACGGTCACAGCTTGGCCTAGAACCCCGACCTGGAACGTGTGCACGCCATGATTTTGTGTGAGTTCGTCAGCATCTAGCCTGCATCCGAATTTCCCGACAGCGCCAGATTCAAAGAAATTCCTGGCCGCTTGTGATTCGAAAGCGAAGAAAAAGGAGAATGTTGGCAGGAGGGTGGTGCGCCCGAAATGCAGGGCACCTGGCTTGGCCTACCTCTGGCGATGATCCATCGTCCACTGGAAGACCTGTCGAACAGCCCCTGGCTAAGCTTCCACACAGCTGCCCAATACTCCTTGCATCACGAAGAGTAGCTTCTCATAAGCTCAAGCCCTTGTTGATGTTGATGTAGGGTTTCTGTGACTTCTCCTGTGCTGCCGTGTAGTTCCAGGAAACTTCCGCAAATTTCCTTTCTATTTCGCATCCTGTAATGGGCGAGCTTCGCCTCGGTGGCTAGACCCGCTACATAGATGCAACAGGGACAAGGCTGACACGGGTCAAATGTGTAGGCACCTGTGGCGGCACTACGAATGGGCAGCGGCCCGAGCCAGACTGGGACACATGGGTTTGCTACCCCAGAGAGGTCGGCGGGCTCGGCAACATTGGAGCTGAAGGGGCTCAGGCTTTCTGTCGGACTTCTTGAGCTACGGTCACATTTGGCATGATTCGGTTTTGCTCGTGCATGGAGAGTTGCCGGCGTGGCGGATTAGTTTCTGGATTGGTGATGTGTAGTCACTGTCCAAGCAAGACCAGCTTGGGTGCTTGGGGATGGTTAGCTGCCAAGCCCGGACAGTGGTTGAGGGACGTATAGTTTCTTAGCAAAGGCTGGCGGGGAATGAAGCTCCAAACCTTTGCACATTGCCTGCTCACACGGGTTCTACTCCCGTAAACAGGACATTCGTGCGGAAGAGAGCTACACCATCTGGAAGCAGAGCTTGCCGGCCCTGCTGGTGCTGATGGTGTTGTTCCTTCTGAGTCTTGTCCGAAACAGAACTTGATTTCGACGGGTTGGCGAAGAGCGGCTTTTCGCGGGCATGCGGAAACCTCCACGCGCGCGCACACGCACACGCACACACACACACACAGAGACGCACATCACTGGCTCACTCGCTCACTCAATCAGTCGATGGTTGAATCTAGGGTTGTTTAAACCGGGAACACACGCAGTAGAAGAAGGAACGGAGCAGCATCAAGGGACGAACCGATACAGATGCGAGTGGTTTAGAGACTCTGCAAGCGCCCCCTCGACACATGGTTGCAAACAGACCCAGGAACAATGGCGGCACAATGCAGGAACTCTCTTGTCCTACATGCAGTATTGAGACAGGTCATATTGTGATGTTTGGAACTCTACACCAGAGTTAGGGGCTCGGGTCATATCCACCCATGGCCGTCTTCCAGGTTGGGCAAGATCACGGAAGAGAATGAGTCTGGCCGTGTCGGCTTCCGTTGTGTCTTTGGCACCTGGCAAAAAGCAGACTGAGTTGTTTAGCATGGTCCATCAGGCGGCCACATAAGAACCATAAGGTTGACGGCCGCTAGGGGGTGGGGGCGAAAGGTGTAGTTCTTGGTGCACTTCGGGCTCAGTAGACGATCTTCCGCAGTTACTCGTGTTCCGCTTCCCAAACCGTCCTTCAAGGCATTATCGTTGTTGGCATCTCCCATGGTCTCATCGGCACCGTTTTGAATCTCGCATGCACAGCTTTGTGGCGAGACTTGGAATTCGAGACAGGACTTTCAATTGCTCTTCTGCACCAGCTACCGTGATGTCGACCTGGGTTGCCCGTAGGATCGTATTACTTGTACTCGCAGCATTCTCAGTCTCACGTCAAGGATCGCTGGTATGGGTGCCGGGTGCATGGCACTCTCGCGAGCATTGCGGAATGCCAGTCCTGAAGTGGCACTGGCCACAGTGCCCTTGAGGATGACAGTTGTTGTTTTCAGGGCTTAAGCGAGCTGAACGTAATTTATAGCTGTGAGCGTGGCACGAGATAACTAGTTAGACAACAACAATCAGTCTCAGATTCCTCACTTTTACGGTCCTGCTGTCCTGCTGCCATGAGGGCTTTCGTTTATATGTAGAATTGGACTGCGCGCCATTGGGTGTACGAGCGCGCCTATGCACGGCATGCAGCCCACCGGTCGGAAAATAACAGACCCTCGTTCCTGACCGACGCATTGAAATTGTATTTGGAATCTTTCGCTCACTTCCGGTGCAGGTGTGCGTCTTGCAGAGGTTGTCCGTGCTGTAGCACCGTCATGTGAAGTTCTGTTGCAATGGTTTCCGTAATCATCACCCGGCAATTTGTAAGTTCAGCAGCTCCAGCTTTATTTCGCCAAAGGTATGGTGCTTTGTGCTTATCTGCATGGAGACAGTTTTCCGACTCCTTGGTGCTCACACGCATGCAGTGCCTGGATGGCGCCATGATCAGGCAAAGCCTGCGTCCAACACGCTCCTTGATAGATCTTGCCGATTGAAGTTTGGATTTGGGGCTGGTATCCATCGGTCATCTGATTTTTTGTTCATGAAGTCAAGTGATGCGATTCAAACTCGTATCACGAGAGGTAGGCCAGATTCCAATCTAGGCTTCAGAGAAGAGCCTTGCGATGCGCATAGCAGTCAGTCTTTTCACATTTCGCCTCATTCTACACTCGGTGTGTGCGCGCCTGGATGCCAGTTGCGCCCTGCACAGTTAGCTGCCATCTCCGAGACAACAGCCCGACCCTTCATCAGCCTTGCGTGCCTCTCCTGAAAGTTTACACCGCTCTGAAGCCGGAGGTGAGTCTGCTTTTAGGGGTTTATCCCTGAAGAGTTAATTCCATTTTCTGTGAGCCGCAGGGCTTCAAGAGCTGGTGCTTGCTCGAGAGCCTGGTTTGTGCCTTCGGCTTCGAACGGTCTTTTGAAGACGAGAGGTCTCGGGCTGTCAGAGTGGTGCATGCAACTCCAGTAAACTGCTACAGCGGCCACCCCAGCGCGTTGGCCTCCTTGCAAACAGCGAGGCAGGTAACCCGACGCCACGAGTCGTTCTGAGCTGTTAGCTGTTCTCGTTGGGTTCCGGTAGGCTCCCCGCACCTAGCCACTGAGGCACAACAAGTTCTCTGCGCGATTTGTCTCGGAAGTATAATCCGACTACTGTCTCGACATTTCCTGCTGCACGAAAACGATCGGCCTATCAACAACGGCTGTCGAGAAGATTTGAGCGAACAATGTGCGGTGGGCTCGCAGAGGGTAAATTAAGGCCTTGCCCAGCCAGTCATTAAGAAGTCATGTGACGGTGCTGGAGTCTCGGATCTTGCGTGCAGTGGGAAAGCTGAAAGCTCAAGCACTTGTAGGAGGTCATCACAGCGGCTACATTGATCGTCTGCAATAAGTCGTGGATAAGGACACACATGGCAAAAGGCAAATCACTAGAAACAGCATTGGCTGTTCCACAACAGGCGAGGCAGAGCGCACATAATGCAGGAGTTGCGCGTTGGAATTTCGGGGTTCTTTGTAGTGTATGTTGGAAGCTGCATCAGGTCCATTAGGGATGAGACCCTAAGGCGGTGACGTGCTGAACCAGCCGGTGCGAAATAGCTCCGTGTGTTCCATCTCGAATGCGCCTGGGCACTGGGGTCAAGATGAGTTAGCATGTGTGCCTACAAATCCCACAGGGCTGGGCATGTCGACGGGTTGTTGGATGCAAGGAAGGCCGGGACTTCCAAATCTCGGGGCCTGGCGTAGCGCTTTTGAGACCGCCAAGAAGACTCCTTAAACTTGAGTCGAGTTGAAAGCTCCAGTCCGTCTGGCTGAAAGCTGAGACCGTGTCATTGCCCGACCCACCGCCTTCCGGGGCCTCCAAGGCTTTCATTCTGAAGGGCTTGGCACCCTGGATCAGCTTTCGATTCATGGCGCTGCACCTCGACCACAACAGCTTGACAATATGCCCTTCGGGGAGTACTTCGTCTTGAGGTTTAGGGTGGAAGTGGCCTGAGTTTCATGATTCGTTTCATCGGCTCTGTGATGCGATGCCGGCTGTTGTATGGTAGCCTGTCCGACAAATTCCCTGTCCTGTCCGCTGTGTCGTGTCATGGAGAGTTCTGGTGGCAAACAACCTTGGATCAGGGTTGGAACGGCATCTGTCAGAAGTGGGACTTCAAGCCCTCGCCACAGCGGTTGTGGGACCGGGGCATGGGGGCACCAGGCGGAGCGCAGCTTGTGATTGTGATTTCAGGAAGCTGATCTCCCTGGCCTTTGACGATCTCTGGAGCTACAAGGCCTGATAGGTTTGCAAGAACACCTCGTAGCGTTGACTACACACTTCTCGGGATTGACGGTCGTAACCTCGGCGGTTGCTACGACACTACCCTGTTCCTACGGGACCTCGTCACTCGTCTACTGTCGTTGTTCTGGCGATGTCGGCAGCCGCAGCTTGAGTTTTTCCTGCAGTTCACAAAGCAAGCCTCTAGGCAATGTTCAGCCGTCGTCTCTCTGCGTGGTTGCTCCGACATTCGCTTGTCTCGAGGTTGGCTTTAAGGTCGCGACATGAGGTTGGAACTTGAAATGTCGCGTGCTTATTCTGGTAGCATGCAACTGCACAACAAGACCTCGAATCGCGACAACCGCCCACAGTAAGCGTTTCTTACCATTCCATCTTAATTCACACAATAACCATCACATGGTGCTTCACAGTTGGCCTAGGGCCCAAATGATTTCGCCCCAAACTACCGAATTCTTGCATCAGAGGCCGCAAAGCCCCTCAAGTGCTGCAGCTTCCCTCGCAGAGGAACTGCCTTCTGGCGTGCGAAATCTTGAGTCGAAGCCTGAGCTCATACGGCGAGCGGAGACCAACCTGCCGCCGGAGAAGTACTCCTGGAGGCCTCGTCGAAGTGTCTGTCGAGTTTGTTGATGGTGGGGATTTAAATTGGCGATGGGGATTCGATAAAAAAAGGGGCCGACAAGGTCGCCTCGACTCTAAGATTGCCCAGAGCTTGCGAAGCTGATGCCTGCAAATCGCTACACATCCAAAGTTTCGCCGTCCTCTTGGCCGGGAGAGCACAGCTTGGGGGTGAAACGGCGGCACAGGGGCACTTCGGATTCGCACCCAGGCACAGCGGCTGCTGGCCTGTGCAAGACATACTGAACGGTAAAAGTCCGAAACGCATCTCTCAGCCCAGGTACATTGTTGCCTATTTGGGCTACGCTCCGCTCTTCTTCGCTGGGCCAATCCTCAGCTATAATGCCTTTGTCTCCCAGCGCCTCAGCGATCAGTGTACTTGGTACTGGGCCAGTACTGGGCTGTTCGTGCTTGTTTGTTTGCCATGAAACCGAACCCAGCATGTCGGAGAAATACTGCAATGCCATTGCTGGTATCCGACGAACTCACCTCGCTGGCACATGTTGTGGAAGAGAGCTCGTGTATCTATGGAAGCCCAACCTCACGTGCTTCCTACAACGGCCAGTTTCTAAGCGGCGGGTAAGTAGCTGGTAGTTCTATTGTGTCGGATATGGCGGTGCGGAAAACCCACATTGACATGATTGTAACATAGGACTGGATTTGCTTTTTGTGAGAACCATGTGTTTTCTGAACAAAGCCCAAACCCAACACACTGGATCGGAGTGGCGTCATGCGACCCTCCACAATTGCGCATTTGTCGGACACTGGTCTTATGGCAGAAACCCGCTTTCACAAGGACACTGGACCGACTCTGCTCATGTAGTGTGCTTCTGAGCCGAAACGCTTTTACATGATGCAAGAGGTGGTTGATGAAGGTAGAGGCATTCATATCATAAGCCGCTAGGTTAGTGAAATATAGACATAGGCATGCTGTTGAGGCTAGTGAATGGTGACTGGGACGGGGGCTTGTAAAAGTTTGAAGCCTCTTGAAGATGCTAGCTTTCTGTGTTGCATGCGAGAGTGCGCATGGAGTTCATGCCAGCTTTTTGTATGCCCTAGAGGTTTCCCACACTCTTGTGTTCCGCAGTCCCAGGCTCGAGAAGAAACAGGAGACTTATCGAGGACGACAGGCCCGTCCGGACTGAAACGTGCTTCCCCCTCAAATCTAAAGACTCAGAACCACAAGTGCTTGCGCCTGTGCTATCACTTGTTTGGGATCTAGATTCGTTTAGCATCCGGTCTCCAACAGGATTGTGCAAGGTAGCATCTAAAGCCTGTCTTGTGGGTCGAGCTGGGCAGTAAGGGCAGCAGACGAGTCCCTTGTGAAAACCTGATAGGGGCCACGAACCCGAATGCAGACACGCGCAACGCGGATATCGTCAACCAATAAGTACAAGGAAAGGCATATTCATACGACCGAACGAATAATCATGTGAGTGTACTACATCGGATGGGCGGAGCTGTGCTGGGCTTGGCTGGCTGGGTGGGGCCGG